ATTCTAACCCGGGTCTTCTGCAAGAACAGCCAGTACTCTTAACCACTGAACCATTTCTCCAGTCCCATAAACAGCATGTTTTTAGGTAGTAGATCGTTTGTGGACCTTGGGCTTTGGTGTCACACCAGTCTGGCCTCCAGTTCTCAGGCTCTGAGGACCAGCTCAAGGGCATTCCACTTTGTGCTGTCCCTGACTGCCTGATACTCCCAACCCCTTGACCTTCTTTCCCTGCCCTTGGGTCACACGGTTGGTGCGTCCATCAGCTCAGTGTTCAGATGGGATTCCATGTCTTTTATGGCAAATTGTGAGCTCTTTGAAGGCTGGAGGGTCCTGAGACCTCTTGGTAAGGCAAATTGCTTTGCTTCTCTGCGCTTCCTCTGGAAGTAGACTAATGCTTCCATCATGGGATTGCAGAGACTTTAGAATGCAGTTTATCAGAATGACGAAGGGAAAATGTTAGGCAAGGCTAGGTGTTTCTAAACCTGAGACACCACCCCTGGACAGTTGGCAACATCTGGAGATTTAAGCTTTCATATTGGAGGATGGATGTGCTACTGGCAACACAGTGGGTTGAGACACTGCTGAACAGACTACCATACATGCCACAGTGCCCCAACAGAGAATTTTTAGGCCCAAGTATCAATGCTGATGATATTGAGGGATTTTCAGCAGTTGAGTGGGGGCTGGTAGGCAGGGGAATACGCAGGGCCTGCCCATGGGATTAGAAAATGGAGCCTTGAGATGGGAATGTAGCTCAGTGGCAGAGCACTCACCTACCACACATGAAGGGGTCGGTTCAATCCCAAGTGCTTCAGACAATGAAGAAACAAAACAGAAGACCACAAAGTTCCCATTCTGAAGGCAATGACTGTTTGGTTGAATCAAGCATGTGCATAGCCTGTGAGGTATTAATGCCTCCTTGGCCTCCCTCAAAGACATGGTCATCAGATCTGCAAGGAGAGACAGGGGGCTGTGATTTAGCAGTGCGTGCTCAGGGTGAACCTGAACCAAGCAGAGTGTGGTGGAATTGGTGTCAGTCCCTGTAGATGAACCACATCAGACTCTGGCCTCTGGCTCCCATTGTCTAAGTGTCTGTCTCTGGGATTTGCCCTAGGATTTGGGTAAGAGGCAGTGATGCCCACTGTGGAATATTTGACAGTGGACTATGTAATCATACATAGGAACAAAGAAAAGCATAATAAAAGCAGTGCTGGATAAAAGGCAAGAAAGAAATGTGTGTATAGAATAAATGGCGTAGGCTTCACTACTGGAAATTAAAATCACGTGATTTTTAAAAAAATATTTTAAAATAATATTTTATTTATTATTTTTATTTTATGTGTATGTGTGTATTGCCTGCATGTAGGTAGGTGCACTGGTGTCATGAAGTAGCCACAGAAGTCAGAAGAGGGCGTCACATCCCCTAGAACTGGAGTTACGGTTGTCAGCTGCCATGGGGGTGCTAGGATTTGAATCCAGGCCCTCTGCAAGAGCAGCCAGTGCTCTTAAACACTGAGCCACCTCTCCAGTTTCACAATATCTATCTTAAAGAACATATAAAGGTGTATATTCAACACATTTAGATGATGTTCCTGGAGAATGACTGGGGAAGAAGGAACGAAAACTAACAGCCAGGCCTTGTACGGACCAGTGATGGCTATGTACTGTGCACTGGAGGGTGTGCACAGCTCAGATTCTACACTGGGATTTGGAACAAATAAGTAAAATGAAGCCTCGGAGGATAGGTACCCCAGGACAGAAGCTGCCTGTAGACGGTGCTGAGTAAAGGGTAGCAACCAAAATATTAGTACTAAGTTAGCTATCATGAACAGGATAATGGGGTGAATTATTACAAATTCTACAGCTCATTTTTTACTCATCTCTTTTTCTCCCAATGAGTTTTTATTTTTGCTGAGATAGGGCCTTGCTATATATCCTAGGTTGACCTGGAACTTGCTGTGTAGCCCAGGCTGGCCTCACACTCCTGATCCTTCTGCCTCAGTCTCCTAAGTGCTGGGACTACAGCTATACACCACAAGACTAGCTCCCTCCATTGAGTCTCTAAGACCTACTGAGGAAGAACATGACGTATCCTCCCAAGAAAGCAGGGGGGGAAGGAGTCTTGGAGAGAAACCAGTCTATAAAACTGTCCCCATGACTGGAAAAGAAATGAACGAGGGAGACACCAGAGTCCTTTGATGGGTCTGAGCCAGATGAAAGATGATGTTCCTACAGACTCTGGACTGGATGATGACGTCCTACCTCTGTGAGGCCCCTTGCACCTACACTGTACTGACTGGACGCCCAGATACCCAGCTACTGCTGTCCTCTCTCCACTGGATTCCAGGGCACCCTTTGGGAGTTTTCAACCACATGGCTGAGCAACTCAGACTAAATTTGATTTAGCAAGCCAAGCTGACACTTCTCACATCTCAGAGTGGCTAGGATGAGTTCATTATCACTCTACTGCTTTTTTTTTTTTCCGCCCCGTGCAGCCACCAGCGTGGTACCTCACACATTCAGAGCTTCAGGAAATGTTATGCTGAACCTGCAGACACTAGCTTGGCCAGGTATCACAAGATTCCCTCCAACTGTCAGTGAGCGACACCTGGTAAACTCCCACCACTGAGTGACATTTAGCCTGAAAGATCTGGAACTACATACGTCTCTTTTCAATATGGTTGACACCATAAGTAGAGATGGCAGACAGAGTTGGGAGGCCCTTCGGGAACAATGTGTCTCAGTTCTTTCCCTATTAGTGAGATCTTTCCCTCCCTCTCTATCTCTGGACCATTTCTCTGATTATGGAAGGGATTCATTTGCCAACTGGGCATTTAAAATTGTAGATGCCAAACTCTTCAAGTGCTCTTGAACTAGAACTTGTGGAGCATTATAATTATTACTAACTGTGATCATGAACAAGTCCCTAAGCCTCTGGCTTGAGTGTGTGTGTGGTTGTATGCACATGCATGCATGTCTTTGCAAGTACCTGCGCACATGTGTGTGAAGGCCAGAGGTCAATGTCCTATGTTTTCCTCACTAGCTTCTCACCTTATTTTTTGAGACAAGATCTCTCACTGAACCTGGAGCTTACCAGTTCAGTTAGGCTGACTGGCCAGCAAGCCCCAGGGATCCTCCTGTCTCTGCCTCCCAGTACTGGGGTTACAGGCATGTGCCCCCATGCTTGGGTTTTTATCCCAAGTGAACTTTGGGGATCAAACACAGGCCCTCATGTAAGCAAGCATTTAATAAGTTGTCTCCCCGGTCCCCAAGTCTCTAAACCTCTTTAGAAACTTCTTTAGGTCTCATGATCCTTCCATGAACAGGACTGAGAGAGTTCATTTAGTGCACTCTGATGAGGGCTTTGGACACATGCTGATGATAATGTCTGGAGATATCCTCCTGTGGGAATTGAAACTGAAGTCATAGTCTAAACTGACATTCACAAGAGATTATGTTCAGGATCAAGATGGTGACTCCTTTCTTGAGTGAATTTCAAGTCTGAGAGTTGACCTTGACATTCAGGGCACCAATAATTTCAGTGGAGTTCATGGATGGTACTCTCCTGAAGTTTCTCATAGAGTAGATTTAATTTTGTCTCTGCCGTTTTGCATATATATATATATATATATATATATATATAACTTAACATGAGACTACAGTTTTTTGCAGTGTTTTGTTTAAAAACATGGACTATGTAATGTTTTCACACAGACTACACTCATCTGAAATGGGTAGCGGTGTATGAATGTGGGTGGCTTTAAAAGCTGAGTCTTTTGTGAACATGGTGACACATGGCATCTTTACTGCCTGATCAGAAACCCTCAAAGCCTGCAAGCCTGGTGCTTTAAATGATTATTGAGTACAAAATGAATTATTCAAAAGCCAGCAGTGAAGATTGGCCTAGGTTCTGTAGTTGGAGCCCTGAGAATACAAGGTCACTTTTGAAGCTCCATTGGCTCTCCTTGGGACTGGATGTCCATTCTTGGCCCTGATCATGAAAGGAAGAGCAGCTTGGCTTTGGGATGCTGAGCACTGCTGTGCTGGTTGGTCCTCAAGGGCAAGCTGTTGCTGCATCCTAATGAATGCCAGCTCAGGGTGGCGGGTTGCTCAGAAGCAGAGATGTTGGGCAGGAGCCCATGAACTTGACACTTTGCCCATGGGTGAAGCCCTCACAGACTAGGAAGGAGGGTGGAGCAGGGAGGATGCTGGGGCCTTTAACCTTTTTGGTGGCTTACCCAGCACTCTTTCCCCCTATTCCTGTATATCATTTGGGAAGCTGCTAATCTCCAAGTGGACTCAGGAGAAGGTGGCTTTCTCTCCAATTCTGATGGTAAACGCTGATAGAGCTAAGCCATGGTTCTTAATCCTGGGGTTTGAACTATCCGGGGTGTCATAAAAACATTCGGGTTTTTATGACTAGAGTCCCATCCTTGATGCTTAGAGCCTATCATGGCCTTGACATCATCAGGAAGCTTGTTAGAGGTACCACCCCTCTCCCCGCCCCAGAATAGCATCAACATCAGCATCTCAGAGCTGGGAGAACCATGGGCAAAGCCACTCAGGAAGCGGTCGTTTGTATTTCCAAAAGTGATCACTACAGTAGATTTCCTACTCTCATGCTACAGGGAGCATGGACACGTCTCACTTCCCAAGTAGCGGTATCTGTGTTTCTGCCCTCAAGTCTGGGTGATTTGGTGCTTTCAATGAAAATGACGTTGGGCCAATTCCTTCAAAACAGGTAGTGTGGCTCCTGCCTGTTTCTTGAGACACTTACTCTTAGCACCCAGCTGTCAGGCTGTGAGGAAGGCTTGTTTGCATATAGGAATTCCAGTCATCAACCTCAGCTACTGCCGACAGCAATGGCCAGGCAAGGAAGACTTTGAAATGACAGCCTTGCCTCAAGTCCAACTTCCTGGGAGACTCTGAACAAGAGCCATCTTGGGAGACTAGCCAACCCCCAAATAGTTAGAAATGGTCATGACATGACTGCTGTTGTCTTAAGCTACAGAGTTTGCGGGATTAATTCCTCAGCTATCGATAGATGGCCACTTTATTCCTCTGGCCAGACAGTAGTTTAGGAATGAGGATGTGACCCAGATTGGACAGTGAGACATGAGGTAGGTCTGGCTGGGCTGGGGTTGCTTCTGGGGATGTTGTATTTGTCTCTAAGGAAGAAATGGAGGTGGGATGATCCCAGCGTTCTGCTGGTGCTGTTGCATCTTCCATATGGTCCTGGAATTTCTGTCACCATTTTGCTGACCTAGGGATAAAGTCAATGTGAGGAAGCACAAGCAAGTGATGATAGGAGTTGAGTTTATACACTTACATGTCTGATAAAAATCTTTTGGTTGTGGACAGGCTACAAATCATTTCTGAGACTGGTTTGTAGATGGAAAGGGAACTGTGGCGATGGCATGGTATTGATACATTCACCCATGCCCCATGGGAGTAGAAAGGGATCCAGACCCATTGCTAAGATAAGTGTACAGGGTCCACGTCCCAGGGTGAGCCCGCCTTGACTTGGCAGCTCAGCCTCAGGCTGCCCTAATAATATCATGGCCAACAGTCAGCTTGCAGTTGGGAGTGGATTCTATTTTTTTCCCATGTGTACAAAGACAAGCCTGCCACAGCGACAGAGAAAGTGTTTTAGAGAGAGAACAGTGTTTCTTAGGTACTAATAACATTGACAAAAAATGGAGTCAAGCACATCTAAATGTTTGTCCGTATTGGAAATGCCACCTAGCCATCTCCAAACACACTCCTCTAAACAGCAACTGAAGAGGATATGATCATCACAAGGTGCCAGTGGAGTGGGGTGCTGGAGCCAGCCAGTCACCCTTAGTTCTTAAACAGACATAGAAATTGGCATACAAGAGTGACATAGACCAAATCTTAGAATTATGGGTGTGGGTGTGGGGAGTGGGCTTGGAAACAATTTCCACTGATCCCCTCAGAATAGAAGGGGTTGACCAAGGGTCTGTGGTGAGTTAGTGGCTGAACTGGGGGACAAAAATTGCTTTTCCTATCTTTCCTTTCCACCATACTGTGAAACCAATGGAACAATCTATTACAAAACAACGTGCCTGTGCCTTCTCCCAAATTTGTACTCTGAGCTCCCAGTCCCCATACCTCAGAATGTAATATATTTGTACACGGATGCTTAAAGAAGTGATTAATATTAGTCACCAAATTCATTGGAGTGGGTCCTAATCCATAACTGATATTAAAAAAAATTTTTTTGAAACAGGGTCTCATGTAGCCCAGGCTGGCCTCAAACTGGCTATGTAGGTGAGGATGATCTTGAATTTCTGATTTTCCTGCCTCCACCTCCCGAGTGCTGAAATTACAGATGTGTATCACCACACCTAGTTTATACTGAGCTTGATATGAATCTATGGCTTCATGCATGCCAGACAAGCACCCAACCAACTGAGCTACATCTCCAGCCCCTGATGTCTCTTTAAGAGGAAATTTGGATATACCCAAAAAATTCTCAGGGCACATGGACATGAAGACCACATAATCACACAACAACAAGAGGACAGCTGTCTGCAAGCCAGGAGAAGACACCATTGAGACCAATCTGGCAACTTGATCCTGGACTTCCGACCTCTTCTGAACTGACTAGGTCAGTGCCCTTCCACAGGCACCAGCTGTGTGGTTTCCTGTACCACTTGCCGGAGCCCACAAGCCACCCACCGTGGCTTTGTGTGCTGAGGGCCTAATGGTATCTTAAAGAGAGCAAGGAAAAAGCGGGTACAGCAAAAATACAAAGTAAAGAGAGCGTAACATTGGTCTGCTTCTCAAAAATCTCAGAACGAGCAATGGGCAAGCTGAGCCAACATCTGGAGAACCGTGGGCGTCTCATGGACTTCCTGAAGCTGCTTGTGGCTTGGCAGCTCAGCTTGCCTGACAAGAAAATGGGTATCACACTGCCTGGTCTTCTGAAAGCAGGTGATTTGCCCACATATGTCATGTAACTGGGAAGCAGATGCTCCCCCATATGAAGATTAAATTAGCAATCCCCAGATGTTCACAGACATCCCTAGCAAGGCAGCTGGAACTCAGGATCTAACTTATTTTGACTCAAAATTGTGTGTCACCAAATATGGCTCAAAGCTGCCTTCTCCTTGGGTGGTAGAGACACCTGTCTGCACAATTAGATTTTAGGGCCTTGGGTGGAAATATGGTCCTAAAAGTCAGGGACACAGTGCATGGTTCTCTGAAGACAGACCAACCAAATTCTCAGTTCTCAATTGGCAGAGTCACTTCTTTGGGTTAAGGCATCAAAAGCCCCTGTTAAATAGTTTCTTCAGGAGCCTTGAGTATTAAGACATCTTCAGCCATTAACACCTCTTTGTGACTTCATCAGAATTGTTGGTGCACCCTTAAGTCCCTGACCAGGGCAGCTGCATTTTGAAAGGGTGAGAGATGGAAAGATCCAGAGCCTGGGGACACACAGATGGATGTGTTTTGTGGAGGGAGACTGTGACACAAAAGGAGAGAACATATCAGAAGTAACTGTCTGCTTAATGTTTCTGAGCCAAGCAGACCTCCAGATCAAAGTCACCTTTTGGCCACACGGCCCAGATAATGGGCAGAGGGCCAGGTCAGTTGGCAAGCGCTTAAGTCTGTCTGTGTCTATCAGGATCTTGGCAACTCTGATCTGGCCTTAACTGGGACCAGGAAGCTGTGAGTGCAGGAACAAAATACAACTACAGTGTGGGCCTCTTCTGGCATGGTGTACTGCTACCGTACCTGGAGCCCATGGCTGTGATTGGCACTCAAGAGGTGGGACTTCACCCTTGCTCTCAGCCAATCAGCATGCCTGTGACTCCAGGCTCTGATACCCACTCAAGGATGAGCTAGAATGGGAGCAGGGAGAGGACTTGGTCAAGTAACAATGGCTAAGCAGGAATGGCCTCGTCTTGGGCTCAAGGGGGAAGGGAAAGGCTGTCTAGCCATCCACAGTCCAGGCAGGGAGGTGGCTGGGGCTCAGCAGGGAGATGAAGACATCTGGTCATAGTCCGGGCACTTGAGCAAAGCTGGGTAGTTGCTGTTCATCTGCAGTGAAGCATCACTGGAGATGTCTGAGGGGCTGCGGCCCCGGATCCAGGCATCTGGATGTAGAAACTGGCCAGAGTAATCAGAGCAGTTGCTCAGACGGGGACGGTAGAAGCCTGGGTGAGGTCTGTACATGTCCTCGGCTGTGTACCTCTTCATGAACAGGTACACAGACATTACCCCAGCACTCTACAGTGAAAAGGAAGCAGAGGAGGGGTCACTGATGGAGACCTGGACTGTCCCATATGAGCCTTCTTGGGATATAACCACAGAGCTACTCCAGCGGGGTGGCCGGTGCACGTGGGGACAAAGTGGGCCCTAGGAACTTCCTGGATAGAAGAGACCCAGAAAGGCCAGGGAGTGGTACATTCTGGGGATGATAAGGCTAGAGTGGGTGGTCTAGGATGCTATGGGATGCCTCCCTCCTCCCCTCCAGGCAGGGCAGTATAGGGCAGGTTACCTCTGTTAAAAGGAAGGAGATGGCAGCAAAGGCAAACGACCATCCATATTTGTAGTTGAAATAGGTCTCTGCATCCTTTGTCCTGTTGAGCATCTCATCATTGATACTGGAGATGTACAGCACTAGGCCCACCACAAGAGAAAGGCCTGGATGAGGGCAGAGGAGGGAAAGGCATCCTCAATCTAGAAATCCAGGGAATTTGCTGATTTGGCACCCAGTGAAAACAAAGCCTTCGTTTTGAAGTTCAAGAGTGAGCAGGAGCTTGCCTCCTGATAACTGTCTACACCGGCATTTTCTAGATAATGGAAAGTTGGAGGTAGGAAAGCTCCCTGTCCAACCACCTTCCTGAACCAGGAGATAAGCGCAGTGATTCTCATCTAGTTGCTCACTCCCATCATATATATTTTCCCAAGTTTCCTTTCTCACAGGGGCAGAGCTAGGGTCCTGGTTTCCTACTGTCCTAAAAGCACCTGGGGCACAAACCCTGAGCTAGCCAGGGGCTTTTCACTGAAGTGAGGAATAGGATAAGCTTCCTGGGGGGGGGCGGTTGTGACGGGGCTTCTAATCCCCGTCTCCAGCTATGAGTGGTACATATCTCTGTGGAGACTGCCAATGTGGCCCGGGGCTTGTGCAGAACACCTGGTGACAGCCTGCACCCTAGCTTAGATTTTTAGGCAGTAGATATAAGAGAAGTTTGTCCAGGTCCTGGCCAGGATTAAATGAGGAGGCCACTGGGGCCCAAATTCCAACTGCCACTGTGCACACGACTGCCTGAAGCATCAGTCTCGTCAATTAGTAACTGTAATTGAATCAAGACATAATTAATTACTCTGTGTTGAGCTGTTCAGGTTTAATTCCATTCATATTATCTTATGAACTGGGATCTCTCCAAGGATGCAAGTTAAAGGGAAATAGGTGTGATTCAAGCCTCTCTCGGTAGTTAACTCAAGTATGAGTCACTGCTATTCCCAAATGCCCCTTTACTGTTATCATGAAAACAACTTCATGTGGATCCGCTCCATCCTAGACTTATGATCCTGCTGAAATCTCAAGAGTCCCAATAGCCAGTCACTTGGTCTGTTGGAAAGTTCACATGAGGAAAAATGAAAAACTTAACCCCAAGTTTTTCCTTTCTAGGTAGAAATACCACCATGCAAAGGTTGGGATAATATTTCAGGTATTATTGGATTTCTGGATGGATGAAAGAGTGGAAGGGTGGATTAATAGAGGGGAGGATGCATGACAGATGGGTGGGTAGACTGAAAAGTGGATGGGCAGATGGACAGAGGAAAGTGTGAGTGTGTGTGTGTGTGTGTGTGTGTGTGTGTGTGTAAGGAAAGAGCAAGGAAGAATGGTTGAGGGCATCAAGCACCGGACCACCTGGCTTCAAGATGTGTTGGCAAGGAAATGGGGAAAATATCCTAAACTGACTTGGGATCAAGTGGTAATCAGGATTCCTGATGCTCAGAATTATTTTTTTACTCCAGTCTTTCCATACATCCATCCACTTACCCACCTACCTACACATGATTCCGTCCATTCATCCAATCCATCCATCCTCCCATCAATACATCCATCCATCCATCCATCCACCCACCCATCCATCCATCCATCCATTCATCCTCCCATCCATCCATTCATCCTCCCATCTTCCCATCCATCCATCCTCCCATTCATCCTCCCATCCTTCCATCCACCCACCCATCCATCCATCTATCCTCCCATCCATCCATCCATGCTCCCATCCATCCATCAATCCATCTATCCATTCATTCATCCTCCCATCTTCCCATCCATCCATCATCCCATTCATCCTCCTATCTTTCCATCCACCCACGCATCCATCCATCCTCCCTTCCATCTATCCATCCTCCCATCCATCCACCCACCCACCCATCCATCCATCCTTCCACCCCGCTGTATCTATACAGTCTATTATTCACCCATTCATCCTTCAAACCACCCACCCATGTTCTACCTGAGCATCAACTCCTCAGCTCCTTCATTCCAATTAATGAATGCAGGGCCCCTACAATGCATGTCCTGAAAGCCAACCGCTCGACTAAGTCATTGTGTTATAAAAAATACATCTCTGTGAAAGTCACTGGGGAGAAAGCACCCACCTTCTTTATTACATTCTGTTGCCTTCTCTCTCCATATACTTCCTATGTGTAATCTTATCCACGGTTCACACTTCCATTCCTTAGACTGATAGCTCTCAGATCTCTATTTTTGGTCCAAGTGACTCCCTGTGCCCCCAACCCCGACTTGTGGCAGTGTTCTGCACATCTCTGCCAGATGCCACATGGACAGCCCAAATGCAGTGTTTCCCACACTAACCTCATGGTCTTTGTCCAGATCTGTTCCTCTTCCTGTGATTCCTTGGTCATAGATGTGAGTGGCATTTACTCAATGCCCAAACAGGAAATTAGCACTCCTCCCTTTGGAGCCCAGTCCTGGTCCTATTGAGTCACATGAACCTTTCCATTTCTTTCTGTTGCACTGTCACCCTAGTGAGCCACTGTCTCCTGTACTACTGGAGTAGCCTCGTGCCCAGATTCCCTGACTTCTATCTCACTTCCCTTCCTCCCACTGTTCCTAAGAATAGGCTCTGTAACATCTACACTTGATTGACTTAAACTTCTGAGGCTTCCAAATCCTCTAACAATTCAGGTGCCTCCCAAGTCTCACCTCTTACAACGTTTCTCCTCCATCTACCATGATGAGTAGCAATGATGCTCAGCCCCTCCAGGCCCCCTTTCCACTCCACTCATTCCTTTGTCCAATTCCTACCACCATTTAACTCACCTTTTCCTCTCATGTTCCCTGAATTTTACAATTGCTCTTGGCCCCCAGCGCAGTCCCTGGTGACCCCTATCATACAGGCGCCCTCTCCAGTCTTGGCTCCTATTTCCAGTCTACTTGTTTACCTCTCCTGCTGCACTGACCATCTGTAGTCAAGGATGCCACATCAGAATAGGATCTGATAGTTATGATGACTGAATGAATGAGTGACGTGCAACCTGGTACAAGTCTACAAAGACAGGTCTGTACTGAAGGGGCTGTTGAGCCTAGGATAGGGGATGTTGTTAGATAGTGAAAGAGTCCCACGGGGTCTCTGAGGGGAACTGAGGGCTAGGGGCAAAGGGGTAATTATTTTAAAGGCCAATGCATTTACTATTCATGTCAAAACCTGACGATGCAGCACACAGGAATGCTTGTCGGTGAGAGACAGAGAGGACATGATAGTGGTGTGTATCGTGATGAGAGACCCTGAGCTCCTATCTCAAGTCTTCCCAGGGTGAACCCATCAGGTCACTCCCACTCTAAAGCTTCATATGTTCTTCTGGAAGGTCACGGGTAGGCCCAGGGACATCAGAAGTCTCCTCCCACCCTGACTCAACTCTGCCCAGGTCACCGACCCAGCTTAATCTATGTCCAGCACTGACCCACAGCAGTGTGACTTGAATTTCTTGAAGCAGAGCTGTCCAGGAGTCAAAAGTCAAAAGTCCGGTGTGTCTGGAGAGAAAACAGCACAACTTACCCGAAAGGATAAAGAAGATGCCAGAGACAAAGGCCAGTATCGTCCGGTGGGGACGGATGTGCCCGATGTTGCTCAGGATGAACCCAATGAACATGAAGAAGAGGCTGACCAGCGGAAACGGGGTGGCTGAGCGAATCATTTCTATCACAGGGGCAGAGGGACAGTCCGTCAGCCTCCAGTGGCCTCGCTTACTCAGCCTCTTCCAAGTAGTGTGTTCTGGCAAGGTCTACCCACAAGTCCACGAAGCTCACTCCCACGTGAGTGGCCTGGGGACCTCCTAGTATGGGCCAGGGTTTTTGTCCTAAGGCAGGGCTGGAAGGTCTGACTCCAATTGCCAACATAGTCAGAGCCTTGTCTCCCCTTTAGGTATAAGCTTCCCTCCCAGGAGTCTCACTGCTTGTCTACATGATTGCTGTGAAGTGCCTGGTCATGCCATCTTGCTTCCTCTTCCAGAGACATCCACCATTTCCAAGAGCATGGGGCATGGGGCTTGCTCTGAGTAGTGCAGAGGGCAGACACAGGCTTCTGTGTTCAGTGTGTATTCACCTGGGGGATCTGCTGTATAATAAAGAATTTGTTCCTTGTCCTTGGTTTCTGAGGGTAGCCTGTAAGTCCTAGGACTTTCTCATGTGATGGGAGTGTCTTGGTTATGCGTGATGGACTCCTGAGTTCACCAGAGTTTATGCTAATAAATGACTCAGGATGGGGGCAGGAGAGAGCAAGCATGTTGGTCAGACATAAGCCTGACCTGTGGGGAGGTAGAGGGGCTGCATAACTGAGTTCAGTCACATGGTTAGTAATCCAGTCAATCACGTCTATGGAAAGACAACCAAAAAATCTTTGGACTCCAAAGCCTGACTGAGCTTCCTAGTTGGCAAGCTCGCCCTGATTCCCAGGGAGAGGACACTGAGGCTCTGTACTCAGGACCCTGCCAGCCATTTCCTCTATGCCTCTTCCTTTAGTTGATCCTGACCTGAATCCTTGATAATATCCTGTGAAGGCAAGTACAGCACTTTTCCATCCACAAGTCATTCGAGCAAATTCTAGAGCCTGAGAGAATCATGGGGACCCCCATATTTGCAGCTATTGGGTCAGAAATGCAGATGCCCCAGAGACTTCTGCATTTGTGACTGGCACCTCAGTAAGGCCATAAATGTGTGAGGTGTGTGGTAACATCAGGCTACTAGTTCCACGGGCCCTCTGTAACCATGGGCTCAGCATCCAGGGATTCATCCAACTACACCCTGAAAAATGATGTCACTGATGATGTGTGCTACGTAGTTAGGCTTATGATGGTTATGTCTACACTGAATATGCACAGACTTCTTTCCTTGCCATTATCCCCCCATATAATGCAGTAAAGAAATTATTTGCATAGAATCCACACTGTGGTAGCTATCAAAAGTCATGTAGGGATGATCGTGGGTTGAATAAGTACCATATCATTTTATATAACAAACTTGAGCAGTCATAGATTTTGATATCTAGGGATAGGTGTTTTGGTTTTCCTAACATACCAAGGGATGAACTGAATTAAAACACTGCAGGTTCACACTGGGAATCAGAGCCAGCTCTGGTGAGGTCAAGGTCATAAAGTCAGTCTTGTCATAGTCCAGAGAGGTTGGTTCAGTCTAGATACAAACGTTTCCTTATTTCCTCAGGCCAGCAATATAGAAATTCTAGCAGCTTGTCTCCACCCCTGGAAACTGAATCTGCAGAGTAAGCTTAAGTGAATTAGGCCACTCTAACCAGCTGGGGCCAAGGGCATTAGCTCTTAAGAGTCTGGTCAACTAACTCTTCCTTCTACCCTGATTTGGAATGTTCAAGACACCTACTTAGAACGTTGACTGTGGACTCTGATGTCATCTGGGAGTTCATGGGCATCACATATTCTATGGTGAAGCAGCGTCCTCTCTCTTCACCTGTAAAGACAAGAATTACTGATATTTTCAGGTCCTTCTCCACCATAGATCTGAGGTTAGTATATTCCAAATGCTCTAGGATTGTTGGTCCATTGTGTCTCTTTACTTGACCTGGATAAAAACTCTAGGGATGGTCTCATCCCGGGCTGGTGGCCTACACCATGGATGGGGAACATGTCCCGATATCACCTTCTTCCTGGAGTATGGACCCAAGCATGGGACAAGTCAGTAACTGAGGAACTCTATACCCAACAAGCATCTGGTGCCATCTGTTGCATTTTACCAGAGGGGCCATGGTGGTGCATGGCTGACTCAGATGCATGAGTGCGGTATCATGCAATAAACCCTCAAAGCCTTGTCAGTCACTTCGGAAACGAGACTCTGCTGGCTTTAAACTCTGTATCATGTTAAGCAGAGATGGGTCCACACCATCTGGGACAGTAGGAGATGAGGCCAGAGTTCGATGCTCTTCCCAAAGTAGACTGTACAAAATAATGTAAGTATGTCAGGCTGGGGGATCCTTCCTGCTAAATCCCATCCAACAAGCCTGCATCAAGACACGTAGAAAAGCTGGGGGAGCCAAGCTGCACCTCTTCCTAATGCACAATTAGTGCAGAATTCCATCAAGTGAAGCCCAGTGACCACACTGTGTCTATCCTGGCTAGCACAGCCTGTAGCAAGTTTTGCTGGGCATGGGGAATACTTTTCTTGTACAGGCTGGAGCTGGGTTGTGATAAAGGCATAAAGGACAGGGCTCTTGGTGTAGTAACTTGCAGGGTTCCAGAGAAGCCCCAATGAACTGAAGGGAGACCCGGAACAGTAGAATCAAAACCTGTACCCTCCCACAGAGTAGAAAGATCTGCCTTTGTGTTCTCTCTGTGCTGCTGTTTCATGGACAGAAGAACAGAAACAGCTGAGTGTTTCCTATCCCACAAACTTGTGAATGTGAGTGAAGTTGGATTTTGGAGATTTACCTAACTTGCTGGAGCCTTCATTACCTCATTTGTAAAGTGGAGATAGTAAGTGTGCCTTACCGTGTTGTTGGGAGGATTATGTGGGATCAACAGCTCCAGAGTTAAGGCCTGCAACAGTGATTTAGAGCTGTGAGGGATCGTGGTCTTTCAGCTCTGAGGCAGAGTGTGTGAAAGGAGGCCCTGGAAACTTGCTCCAGTGAGTGGACATTATAAATCAAGGTCTGAGTTTGGGTCTGTATTCTACTGGCTCCTTGAAGCCCTGTTCAGAATCTGTGCAGGTTGTCTGTGGTAAACTGCTGACTGGTATCTCCTTGGTGTCTCTAAGTAGGGAGGGTACCTCTGGGGAACGGCTTTCTCAGACCCAGGTGTTCTTACCTGCAAGGAAGCAGACCCGCCAGAGGCCCGAGTGCAGGGACATCTTGACCTCGGTGCTCTGGTTCTGAGGAAGGATCACACCTTCCTCCAGGTATAGCCAGTAGTCAGTGCTGACTGCAATGCCCAGAAGGCCAAGGCCGCAGACTGCAAAGACGCTGCTCAGCAGAGTCAGGGCCTTCCTCCCACAGGCACTCATCCTGGATGCTTAGTGGGTGCCACCAGACACTGTCACACTGGGACAGAGTGGGTGCTGGGGACAGGAAAGGGAAGGTGAGCAGGCAGTGGTGAACAGTAACTAAAGTCAGTCTGCTCTGGCTTAGTGGATGAATAAGAGCTACTAGTCTACTACTTGGATGACAGACCACTTCCACAGAAGAGCCACCTTCTCCCTTTCCTCCTTGGGAATTCACAGCTTTCTCTTAAAGCAATTGTGTCTATCTCCTCATTTTCTGAATCCCCCTTGCTGCATACTAGTATCCATTCATTCATCCATCCATCCATCCATCCATCCATCCATCCATCCATCCAGATACAGGAGAAACACAAAGGGAAAAAACTCCACCCTTGCCCTTGAAGAGCACCCTATCAGAAAAGCTAGGGCATCTCAAAATCAGCTCAAAGCAACTCATTGAGGGCTGAGGCCAAGATGACAGGAGGAAGGCAGGAGAGAGCTCTGCTGAGTGGGCTTCTCTGAGGTGACAAGAATTCCAAAGGTCAGCTGTTCTCTGACAGCAGTAGGCTTCGGGAGCTGGAGTGGTAGCAGCCTTGGGCAGAGAGGGCTGCTTGGGGGAACATCATCCTCATGGGACTCTGACATGGGACTGAGTTAGCAAAGTAGTTACATAAAAATCAAGTTCCTAAATCTACCTAATTGGAAGGAGATTCGCTATTCCCTCCCAAAGTTCTTCAAAGGCAGGACTCAGCTCTGAACCAGTCAGAGAGAAGCTGAGCGTCTGTGTGAACTGAGCCATGAACTCACCCAATGCTTCTAGGGCTCAGAGTGGGGACATATAGGGAGCAGAGCAGGTGGATGCCAGCCCCGCAGGGCCCACGGCCTGGCTTAGACTCTAAACTGTGGCTGAAACACTAGACTTACCTAGGACCATGTAAGGATACCCTCATTCATGGTGCTTTGCAGGTTCTGATACAGGTGGGTTCCTCTGGGGCCCAAGTGATGGCATTGAAAAAGTACTCCCAGGTAATTCTAGCATGAAGCTGAAGTTGAGAAAAAGTTGACCCCTACTTCTCCAGGGTCAGTCCAGGGAATGGCAGAATTAGCATCACCAAGGGGCTGATTAAAAAAAGCAGACTCTGTCCCCGATAATGTTGGGTTATGGTTTGGGTCTCATATAGTCCCCCATAGGCTCGTGTGTTTGAATATTTGGTCCCTGTCTGGCAGTGCTGTTTTGGGAAGTTGTAGAACCTTTGGATTGTGACCTAACTAGCAGAAGTGGGTCACTGGGGGAAGGCCTTGAAGGTTAGCTCTATCTCTGGTTCCCACTCCACCAAGATGTGAGAAGCCTCTGCCATGCCATTCCACTGGCATGAACTCTATCATGCCTTCGTCATTATGATGGACTGGAATCATGCTCCCAAATAAATCCTTCCTTCCTCAAGTTGCATCTGTTAAAAAAGTATCTAGTACACTTCTAACCAGAATGTGCATTTTAACAAGATCCGGGTGCATTGCCTTGCCTGCTGAAGTCTGAAAAGCACTATGCCAAGCAAACAGGAAACAGCATTGTAACGTCATAGCACCTTCCGTGAGGGAGCACCATGTTGACTTGATTAGATTTAGAATCACCATGGAAGCATACTTGTCAGTGTGTGAGGGTGTTTCCAGAAAGGACCTTGCATGCAGGGCTGGTGTAGGTGAGTCACCCATCCTTGCTGCCCTTAGCCCATCTCTTCTAGAGGCGGTACTGCCTGCCCCCTTCTGGGATCCAGTCATGCTCTGGGATTCTGGGCTTCCTTCCTTATTTTGGCTCATAGTTTGACTCACAGGCAGGTACAGTCCATCATGGTGGGGATCATGGTGGCAGGAGCTCGAGGCAGCTGGTCACATTGTACCCACAGTCAGGAAGCAGAGGGAGATGAATGCTGGTGCTCAGCTCACTTTCCCATTTTTATTCCACCCAGGGCCCTTCCTCATAGACTGTGCTGTCCACATTCAGAGGGGTCTTCCCTCCTCCGTTCTTTTTTTTTTTTTTTTTGGTCTTTTTGAGATAGGGTCTCTCTGTAGCCCCAGCAGTCCTAGAACTCACTGTGTATTCCAAGCTGGCCTTGAACTCACAGAGATCTGCCTGCCTTTGCCCCCCGAGTGGTGGGATTAAAGGCTTGGGCCATCACACCCACCATAACCTCCAAAACAATATAAATAAAACTGGAAATATTTTCGACCAGGCTGGACTTGAACTCACAGAGATCCGCCTGCCTCTGCCTCCCAAGTGCTGGGATTAAAGGTGTGAGCCACCACACCCAGCTCCCATGGCATCAGTAACTTTCAGTGTTACAAGGCCAGAAATTTCAAAATACTGCCACATCACCTTGGTGGAGTTGACCAAACTTAGGGCCTGGATGGTGCATCAAAGGCCCTACTGAGGGATGACATCATGCCTTAGCATGCTAAGTACAAGTGGCAACCGAGATACCAGAGAAGCATCAGAAACCAGATTTGTCTGCAAAGATGGGCTCACTGCAGGGTGTGTCAGGTGTCAGTGCTCTTTGCCATCAAGGGGAGCATCTGGCCCTGATCCCAAGTAGTGGCCCCCATCCTAGAAGTTGACTATCAGAGAGTCTGGAGCTATGGAACAAGGCACATACTGGCTTTATGGAGGCACAAGTGTGCATGCATCCTTGTCTGTAAGGATAGTGTGTCTATAAGGCAGGAAGACTTGGGGAGTTCTAGGCTCTGAAACTCTTCCTGATTGACAAGGAAAGGAGAAATGAAGCACCAAGTTGTTTTCTATACAACAGGGTGGGAAATGGAACAATAGTCTATGGAATCTTCTAGTAAAAAAAGGCTTTAGAAATATTCTAGTAAAAAAAAAAGCATCTTGCTTTTTTTTTTTTTTTTTTTTTTTTTTTTTTTTTTTTTTTTTTTTTTTTTTTTTTTTTGATAGGGTCTCCCTGGTCCCAGTCCACCTGGAAGTCACCATGTGGCAGGCATTCCACCCTACTTTTCAAGAATAGTATTGTGTAGTATGTAGGGTAAAGGCTGACAAGCCTGTTTAGTTTAGCTTAGTCCAAAACTCTCCACAAAATAATGGATCTGGGAAACCCATTTTGAGAACTATGCTGTCCCCATGAAGAGTGAAAAGGCCTGTTCTGCTCCTTCCATGGAACTGATGGGGGATTAACTACCAGGGTAAACAGGACCAAGTTTTGAAAAAGCTAAAGCTGGATCCTGGCCTAGGGTGTTATAATTCAGCAACAATGAACTAAAGATCCTGCTTCTCACAGAGCAGACAGATCGGAGCTCCTGGAATATGACACCTATTGCCCCGTGGAAGCTGAGCAGCCAATTTTAATGTTAAGCTTGGCAGAGATGAGAAAGATATGGGTCTTACAGATTTGGAGAGATGAAATTGGAGAAGAGATTGGTCTGTTTCTATAAAAGCAAGACATAAAAGAAGAGGCTGAAGGTGACCTTGCCTGTGGACTCTACAAGAGCGGACCCTACAAGACTCAAGTCTGGAATACACTTAGGAAAACATCAAGGGTCCCATCTCTTCCCAGAGAATGGAACAAAGTTATGGAACTCCACAGGGGATGAAAAGTAAGAGTCTTTGCAATTCATTTCAAACATAGTTTTGCTTTTATTATGGCATCATATTTATTTATAAATAAGTACCATTATTGAGTGAATACTAATTATCAAGTACTGTGCAAAGCCCTCATCAAGTCCTCACAATAACCCCATGACTAAGAAGTATTAGTTCCATTTCATGGATGGGAAACTGAGACTTAGAGATGTCAGCAGCCTACAGGACAGTATAGGTGGCAGATTGGAGTAAAACCAGGTTTAACTCAAAACCATGCCCCAACTGTATGATTTCCTACTAAAGAAATGAACAGGTTCAAAGAACATTAGGATGAAGGAGAACATTTAGATAGATCACTTAGGAATCCAGAAATGGCTAAGGCACAGGTCTTCAGAAAATGTTCTAAGTGACCAAGTGTTACATAAATGTTTTCTAAAAAACAAATGTTTTGGGGGGTATCCTGGGGAGTAGCCTCTGGTACCATTACTATGACACAGCATTTCTGATTCTGAAAACCACTTTGTAGGCAGCAGGAATGATATTTCCCTCAGCCTACATGCAGTGCTGTCAGGTTTCAGGGGTAGAAGTTTCTGAGATGACCCAGAGGAGCACAAGTGCAAAATGTAAATATTTGGAAGGCTGATCTAGTATGTCTCCTGACCTGCGGAGGAAGCTGTAAGAATAAAAATAAAGATGTCGTGTACTTCATTTACCTTTTTGAAAATAACATCATTACTACCACCTTGGTTCATGGCAGTCCAGTCTTTTCCCTATGTACTTGAAACATGTATAAATATATGCATACATATGTGTGCACAAGTCTCTCATCCATGTCTTTAGGAGGCCCCTGGCAATCCTCTGGTCAGAAAGGCATTCCTAGTTCTCATGTAATTAGGGGAATTTATTCAAGTCTGTGCTGTGTGTGCCTGTTTGTGTGTGTGTGTGTGTTGTAATATTTTATGAGTATGCATGCACATACATGCATGTGCTTGTGGAGGCCAGAGGTCAACCTTACATTTTATTCCTCAGGCACCAATAACCTTTTGTGTATGTATGTGTGGGGATGTATGCTTGCTATATGCATTTGTGTGTGTGAGTGTATGTGTGCATGTATGTGCATGTATGCATGTGAGCACAATAGTCAATGTCCAGTATCCTCTATCCCTCTCTACCTTATTATCTGAGATAGTGTGTCTCACTGAACCTGGAACTCACTGATCAGCTAAGCTGCCTGGCCAGTGAGTTCCAGGGATCTGTCTGTCTCCATCCCCCTCTACATCCCAGTGCTGGGGTTATAGATGTGAATAGTGCTGGGGTTATAGATGTGCACAGTGCTGGGGTAATAGACCCGAACAGTGTTGGGGTTGCAGGTGTGCACAGTGCTGGGTTACAAGTTACACAGTGCTGGGGTTACAGCTTACACAGTGCTGGGTTTATAGATGTGAACAGTGCTGGGGTTACAGGTGTGCACAGTGCTGGGTTACAG